CTAAAAAAGTGGTTACAAGTTCCAACCTACTTTCAGATGAGACAAATAATTCTTAAAATCTTAAATACTCACCACTGAAAACATCTAAAGTTCTCAGTACCCTTTGGGGAAAGGTGAATGCTCTCAGAATTAATATTATTCCCAGATTAATTTATATTCTGAGAGGCGTTCCAGTTTTTATATCTGGAAAATATTTTCAGAAAATAAATTCTTTTTTAGAAAATTTCTATACGGTTCTTCAATTCCAAGAATATCTTTACAGAAAATGGAATTATCAATTAATGAGGGAAGATCCAGTCTTCCGAATCTGGAGCTATATCATCATGCTTACCTATTGTCAAGTATTATATATTGGAAGCCACAAAGTAGTGTTAATTGTCCAGTTTGGGTAACTTTGGAATATACGTATACAACACTTTTGATCGGATGGACAGTATTAGGATCTAAATATACTAAAACTCTGGAAACAATTTCGTCAATTGGGATGTAATGTCTAATAAAAAAATTGACCCTTTTTCCCATGCCAAATTGACTTTATGGGGAAACCCAACTTTAAAAATTGGGAAAAAGATGGTGATATGGAAAAAATGGATGGAAGTGGGGATAATGACTTTGGACCAACTGATAGATTATGGAGATGATTTTTTAACATACTCTGTGTTAAGAGATAAATATCATCTATCAGATGCAACTGAATGGCAATATTTACAATTACAACATTGCTTGGACCAGCAGCATTTTCAGCTTCTGAGACACCTGAGATATTAGAACAACTTGTTAAATCCTTTAAAATTAAAAAAAACCAAAACCCTACTATTAGTTTGCATAGATATTTGTTATCAATACATCAATTTGATATGCAGATTTTAAGGGATGAGTGGAATAAAGAATTAGATGTTTCTATATTGCCTAGACAATGGGAGAGTGTCCTAACTTCTATATCAAGAGTGTCAATGGATCTTAAACTACAACTTACACAATGAAAAATAATATTTAGAATTTATTGGACTCCACTACATCTGTATAGAAAAGGATTGTCAAAAACAGCATTTTTGGAGATGTACTAAGGACAATGCCTCTTTAAAGCATATGTTTTTACAATGTCCTATACTTATTAAGGTTTGGGAGAAAGTAGTGGACTATAGAAATATGACTGTGCAACAAAAGCTAACATTTTCAGAGGATAATATTCTTTTGAACTAAACACCTAATACATGGAATTTGACATCTGGACAATGTAAATGCATTCTCTGTGCCCTTACTATGGCCAAAAGACTAATATTGCAGCATTGGAAAGATAAATATATGGTCCCATTTAGTCAACAGATTGAAGACCTGATTGCACTTGCCACTTATGAGTGGATTGCCTATAGATGTAGACTTTGTATGGACAAGTATAATGAAATATGGGACTCATTTATACAAAATACAGTAGGTTAAACAATGATAAGTCACATAAAACTATTAGAAATATATATGTCCTTGAATAATATTATATGCATTATATATGCATTAGATAAGCATATATAGAATTGTAATTGTTTATTGTTATAATGATATATTAACACTTTTTTCTCTTTGCTGTATTTCTTTCACTTTTTTGTTAAAGCACTTTTTATGTGTTTTTTCCCTTTTCGTAATTAAAAATTTTAAAATACATAAAAATAAAAAAGTTCTCAGTAAATAAATAAAATAATATTCATTATTTAATATTAAGTTTTAATATCATACAAATAGGAACTAATTCGAATATAGGTATAATGCCACATTTCCTGAAACTTATAAAGTATTTCAACATCAGAAATTAGTGTTGTTGTAATTTGTTAGATGCCAGATTTACTATAGCAGAACTCTGGAACACTAAATTGCATCTCTCCTTGGTTTGATAATGTTTAAACATGTAAGGAATAGCATTGGCTGAACAATTAACACAATAACACTGTTCTTGAACTAAGGGTTATTTTATTTTTTCCTTCTACAAAGTTTTTTTTTTTTTTTTGGTATGAAACCGTATCTTTGGTGTTTTCGATAATTAACCAATCAGCTTTACAAAAGATGGCAAGAGCTTGCAAGGCGCTTTCAGTGCTAACTAAAACTTCAGAGAGGACGGCTGTGTCTTCTGTGTATAACAGACAGGACAACAATTATCAACAAGCCAATGGCTTGTGCCGTCAGCATGCAGAAGAATCAGGCTATTATTGCTCTATTGGCTAACACGAGTAGGTGGAATTTGGGTCTGGACAGTACTTGCACTAATGCATTTACACAAAAGCTGAAAATACATATTACCCTATTTCGCCCCTCTCTGGATGGGGCGGGAAGAGCAGTAGCAGCACTGGGAACTGGAAGCTCTTGTATGCCACAGTAGACCTGCATAGCATTAATCTCATAAAGTATCATAATTAGAGCAGGAAATTCTCCTATAGGAGGTTTCTAGGGATTGAATTGACTGTAGCCTTCAAGTCTATGAAAGCTGTATAAAGTTTGCCTTAGGGATGGGAAGTATACTTTTTGGCCAGATGCCAGAGGAGTAGACAATTTTTTTTTTAATCTGTTCAGTCATGTCCAATTCTCAGAGACTGCCTAGACAAGTCCCTGCAGTTTTCTTGGCAAGGTTTTTCAGAAGTGGTTTGCTATTGACTCCTTCCTAGGGCTGAGAAAAAGTGACTGGCCCAAGGGCATCCAGCTGGCTTTGTGCCTAGGTGGGACTAGAACTCAGGGTCTCCCAGTTTCTAGCCTGGTGCCTTAACCGCTATACCATACTGGCTCTCTTGAGACAATGTTTTAGGGGTGATCTAAATCCTGGCTTCACTGCTAAGATACTATTGTGTGAAAGCCAGCTTTCAAGTCTGAGATGAAGATGCCTTGTGTGGGACTCACAATACTCAGTGGACTAATTGGATAAAAGTTTAATAGATTTTATGGGTCACCTTTTTGAAGATGGGACTATGATAGATTTGCCCCAGACAGCTGGTAATTGAAATATTTATTTATTTTTATTTATTTATATGTCACATTTATATAGCCGCTCATCTCACACAAAGCAACTCTGTGTGGCGTACAACAATTAAATAACAAGTGAGTAAAAACAAGCATTATAAAAAGAAAAAAGTTATTATTAAAATAAAAACATTATTACAGATTTTTAAAAAATTAGATTTTAAATATGTGATTGGTGGATGTGAATAATTCAGCCAAAATGGTTAACCAGTAATGACTCCACTGATATTAAATCTTTCCTAGGAACTTTGCCTGCTATGGAGGTATTAGAACTAGTGGCACAATAAGTCCTACAGGCTTTTATTAATCTAGACCAGGCCTGCACAACTTGTCTGGAACCACGTCGATAAATTAAAACTCCTCATGGGCTGCAAAGACATACCTGGAGTGCTCATCAGCTGCTCTGCAGTTGGTGGTGGAAGTGCTAGAGCTGGCGGCAGCAGCGAGGCTTGGAGGTGCTCAGCAGCATGTCTTTTGGGGTGGCTGTAAATTTACTTCTTTTTAAAAAAACATCAGTGGGCTACCCAAGGCAACTTGACAGGCTGCATGTGGCCTATGGGCTATGTGTTGTGCAGGCCTGATCTAGACCTAGCTGCAGCACACTCATGACCAAACCAGGGCTTGGTACTGGGTTTAAAAGTAGGATGTTTAGTTGAAATTTTAACCAGAACATCTGGGAATGCCAGATCATAATGAATGAAAATCACTATCTAAGATGGGTTATAGAATCATAGGGTTGCCCAGGGCAGGAATCCTCAATGGCTATCCGATGTTTGCTTGAAAACCTCAAGTAATGGCCACCCATGATGCCAAGAGGCAGGCTGTCTATTCACGGTTAGGAAATACCTCATTTCAAGTTTGGATCTCTCTGTGTAAAGCTTCATCCATTGGCTTGTCTATACATGGGCATTATGGAGAATAAATCCACACCTTCTTCCCCTTGACAGCATTTCAAGTACTAAAACCCTGCTATCTTGTCTTCTCTTAGCCTTCTCTTCTTTAAGCTAAACATACCCAGTTTCTTCTAACTGTTCTCCATAGAATTTAGCTTCCAAGCCACTTACCATCTTATCATCTGATTCACTCTAAAAGAACCAACAGGAGATTCTAGTGATCTCTTGGAATGTTGCAGGCTAGCACTCTAAATGCAGTGATTGGGTATCCTTAGTGGAAAATAACATACTAATTAATAAAAGAGATTTGGACACTTGAATCCTTAGAAACTGAAGGCTTTAAGTCTTTTCTTTTTTTTTTTACTGTGGGCAGTCCTCAGTTCTAATGAGGACCACATACCAATTTCTGACAAGCTATTGTTACCAGACCTAGCCTTGCCTACATGCCCTAAACTGGCCATAGTTGTGACTTTGGCAATGGATGGTCAGAAAGCTATTTTAATTAATATTTACATACCTCTTCAACAATTAACATCTTACATTGTAACTGCATGTGGGATACCTTAGAGGAATATTATGTTAGATATATCTCTTCAGATATCTGATTATTACAGCTGGTAATTTCAATGCCAGACTTGGAGCAAATGATTATCTACTAATTATGCATGGCAATAAACTTTTGAGTTGGAAGTAAAACAATAACAACTGCAATAAGACAATAGCAAACCACTTCCATATCATGCCATGATAACTGTCCATATTTAATTATTTAAATATATACTTTAAAAAAAGAGAGAGAATGCATGCTCTATTATACTCATTACCGACAGAGTTTTACAGGTAGTCCTCATTTAGCGAAGATGATTGGGACCAGCATCTCAGTCATTAAACGAAGTAGTCACTTAGTGAAACCATGACTGTGCTTATGATCTCACTTCAGCTTTCCTTTGCTTTACAGACCTGCACAGGTTGTAAATGTGAGGGTTGGTTGTAAAGTTAGTTTTTCATCACTGTCATAATGGCCACTAAATGAGGCAATCACTAAACGTGGACTACCTGTATTAGTTTTACACTTATTAGCTCAACTGAACTAAACACACAATGTGATTCTTGATAAACGATTTTTATTGGAAACATGTCAGGTTATGAATAAATTGTTCTCAGGCATTTTCATGTATTTCATTTCTGCTTGCTTTAATTGCTTCTGCTTTCCTTATCTATTCAAACTTTTATTAGCCAGGACTAGAATAATTGGAAGAACTGAACCCCAAAGTGTGGATTTCTGGTCTACATAAGGAACTTGGATAAATCTTCCTTGATTTCAGCTTCATCCCAAGGCCCGTGGATATTGTCCTTGAAGAGCTGCAGCCTAATGAGGCAATAAGGGCACAAACATGAGATGGCAATCAAAAGGAGGGCAAAAAGAACAGTGCCAACGATGGAAATGGTTAGTAGTCCCATTAAGGCAGACAAAGCAAAGAGCAAGGTAATTATCATGTAGCAATGGGGGGTTTGAGCTTTGAGCTTCTTCTGTAGCATAGGCCACAGGGCAAATATTTGGATAGCAAATGTCACCATGATGAAGGCATGTAAGGACCGTGGCAACCGTGAAGCTAAGCAGACTGAAGCAAAGATAGCCATATTGAGGGACAGTGTACTGGACACAATAGCTGCATTTGCCCCATAGTCATAGAAGATCAGATGTCCTAGGAGCATGAGGGCAGACATAGCATAAATAGTGTCAGTGCTGATGGACTCAGTTAAGGTCTTCAGTACAGGAGAAAAACCATAGGTGAATGCCACAAATACCACGGAATTCTTCAGATCTCCCCATCGTGTCTGGCCACTTTGATTTCTTTCTATTCCTGAGTCAATGGCATCAAAGAGAACATAACCAATCAGGGAAGAGATCAAGCCAGCTCCAAACAGCCACTGAGGAGCCAGCAGGCCCATATCCATGTACCACCAGATGACGACAAAGACACAAACGCTACACAGTTGCTGTATCACCACTCCAGATTCAAACACCACTGCCCAGTACTGGTACTTGCGTGCGTGGACATTCTTGCGCAGCTTCTCTAAGAAACTTTGATCCACATAGTTATCAGGAAATGACTGCCTCTTATACAACACTTTCTGCCAGCGCTGCCTTGTGGTATGTTCCAGTCGGACACAGAGTATATTTCTAGCCATTGCTTCATAGTTCTTCACAGCATCATGCTATGATGGAGTTCATATCATCTAGAAACAAAATAACATAATTTACCAATGGCTTGGTAGATAATCAGTTTCCACATACGCAGACAATTTCCATCAATTTAATCAATTAAAATTGTTTTCACTGAGGGCTGATGGTTTAAAGCCGCTTGGCTCTCATAAGGCAGGCCAGAAAGAAAAGATTCAGGGCCCTTTGGAATTAGAGAAGTCACAAGCGCTTATATCTTCCTATGAAATTGAAGATCCACCTCATTGAGAGGGCTGGAAAGAAGAGAGATTCAAGCTTCACTGTTGCACAATAGTTTTAGTCGTAAAGGTGATGTTTTCCTCACTGACTATGAAAAATTTCCCTGACTACTCCTCTCAGTGTTTGCAACATTGATAATTAGCGCACAGAGAATTCACCTCTTACTCATGTATCTGCATTTTCAGAATGGCTAGCCATTATATCTAAAGGACCTGTGGTCTCAATTCATCTGAGAAGTGCTAGATTAAGGAAGGCTGTTTTAGAAGTGAAATATCATGCCCCCGTGTGCAATTTAGCAAATTGCTCCTCCTGTTAGTCGGATTCTGTAGCTTCTCTTCATCTTTTTCCCCCAACCTGTAACGGTGATAAGAGCAGTTCCTTCTGTTTTTCTAAACAGAAATATTTGAGTGGAGGGTCCTTACTACGCACCATTCCGTAAACACTGCAGGTTGTGTGCAGCAGAATTATTTTCCCTCTGTTGGTGCACAGTGAAAACTCAGGTGCCAACGTAATTTTGCGTTTTGAGAACGGCAGTCCTAGACTGCAGTCAAGATAGATGGGAAACCATGGAATAAACCATGTGGTGGGAAGTTTCATTCTAGCTTCCTGGTTGGAGCCGTGCCCCGCCGCACCTGTAGTGGTTCTGCTTTCTGAACAATGGCACTTTCATTCCCTCCAAGTTGAAGTCACTATGCTTTCATTTCTTCTGTAGCCAATACAGGAATGACTAGCTATCGTAATAAACCAGAACAGACAAAAATAACGTTCTGAAATTTTAAAAAATTCCTCCCTTACCTCGGCTACAATTGCGTACGTCAGAAAAGGAAATTCTGCTGTGACGGCACATCCGGGTCGGGAAGAAAAGCTGGATTCGTGTGGCCCTCTGCTGGCCAAGGTATGCTCAGAACGCTGACAAATCCTTTCTCGCAGGATTTGCTACTCCCGAGCCCTTTTCTCAATCTAATACTGACGTTGCATCTGCTGTAAGCACATTTGAATATAAAAGGGATTGCATGTTGTGAGGCATGACAGACTTGGATACACTCTTGCTTGGGTATAAATTTTATTGAATTTTAGAGGGGATGTTTCCAAAAAAACGTGCACAACTGAACTGCACTTAAAGTGATGACTCCAAAGAGGAACCAACTTTCTCCCAAGGCCTGGTCCTTAAACTCACTTTTGAAGATTGCAGATATATGCAAAACCTGGATTGTGGACCGTGGCTGCTATCTGGGTGAGGAAAGGCAATGATAGAGAAGCAGGGGGGTGGGGTGGAGGAAGGGAGGGAGTCAGCGAAGGTCCAGTAAATGAGATTTGGAGAAGGAGGGGGGTGTCAAAATATTTGAAAGACGGGTTTCAGGCTGTATCAGAGAAGTTCGAAGCATTCAGCAATCGCTAGCAGTCCTCAAGAGAGAAGACTCCAGTCGGGCATTCATGTGGAATTCACTTCTAACTGGACAAACTGATTTGTGTTAAATTATGGCCTGGAGCAATCAGAATATTTGCAGAGTGAGCGTCTTTTAACTTAATCAAGATAATCTTTGCATAAATATGTGTGCTACAGAGACTACAATTTTAAACATACTTTATAGGAAGTAGTAATAAATTTATTTCTGAATTATTATGATTATTATGAATTTACATCAGAAATTTCAACACAGAAAATATGCCATGGGAAATATCAGATATACTGATAATAATGTGAAAGATCTGGAAAGAAAAGAAAGATCTGGAAAGAAAGAAAGAAAAGAAGGCTGATGTTTTCCAGTTTATCGCTGAACAGAGGCAACAAGGAGCCTCCATGTTGTCCCATCTCATGCAAATTGCTTAAAACATCTCATTCAACAGCATCTCCTACTGAAGGTTTTTCTGTGCTCTGGAAAACTGAGGATAGAGCTTGGTTTGAATATGATGTAACTTAAATGGAAAATATCAGCTGCCAGACATCTTATCAGAGGCTGTATTTGTATAGTTCCAACTGTGGCACTTTTAAAGAGGAAAACTGACATGCTGGATGACAACTCACAGGGACACAGACCAACTGATGACAGGGATTTCAAAGTCCATTAGTTTCAGCAGGTAAAATCACAGTTCAGGTTATTGTGATATGCTAGGTCTGCACTATGACCTCATGAAATTAATAATGTGGGACTAATTTGTGTATGCCTAATATACTGTATCATATATCATATCATATTGTCTTGCCCTCGCAGTATACATCTTGCTTTCTATGGTTATAAGGAATCCAGAGTTCTGCTAATCATGAAAGGCTCTTCTCCACACATAGTAAATCCACATAGCCGAAATTCTTTATCTAGCACAAGGGAGAGTAACCTGAAATCTGTATATAATGTCTGAACCTCTTTTTTGTGGCTACTGAACTCCCTTCTGACCACATTTGCACCATTTTAAAGCTGGAAGAAGTAAAGACTGCAGCAAAATCGGTAAAACAGGATTAATACAATATGTTTGTTTTGTTTTTTAGAGTAATGCCCCAAATTCACCCTCCAAAATCCAGGGAAAAATACAAAAACTGCTGGCCTCACTATGTGGATCATTGGGCAAGTAGTATCTTTTGCTCTTAGGACCATAATCTACACTATGTAATGCTCTATGATGTGCAGTCATATCCTATGCATGGATGATATTTATTCTGTAGAGCTTGGGTCCTCATGGATTCCAGTGTCCCTGTAGGTACCTCTTTTGATGCCCAATAGACTCCATTTCTCAGTTGATCTTTTATTTTCGAAAAACAGAAGCTAGTTTACTAAAAAGCAAAGTGTCAGCCTCAAGCATAATCATTTTCACGAATGTTCTGCTCAAAAGACATCCTGGAGGCATTTTTTAGAAAGTAAAAAATGATAGAGGTCTGCAGTACAGTGCTTTATTTCACATGCATGCTCCCTGCCAGGAAAAAAAAAGCAAACATAAGTAGAAAGTATTCTGACAAGCTAGAGAGGATAGTGGAAAGGAATCTTATACTCTTAAATGGATCTTTTGTGACTAGCCATGCCCTCTAGGGAAATTATTGTGTGAGTAAGCCTTTTGGCTATTATTTGTGAGAATGTACATAATACACTGTCTAAATTCCAAATGTTCCTACCAGCCAAACAAATATTTAGGGATTCCTGCAGTAGAATACTGTATTTAAACTGCCTAAGAAGATATTTCTTTTTGGTCAACATGTACAGAGTTAATACGGCATTTGTGGATTTTCAGTTACATTAACCACCAGAAAGTAGGCACTATGCAACCAGTTTCATCCTATTTGGGACTCATGACCATCAGACGTAGGTAGCCAGATGCTATTCAGGGTTCAAATCCTCTACCAGGAATTGAATTTACAGACTTTTGCACTTTAATTAATTAGTTAGGTTTCCATGTTTTCAGGATCTGTATTCATGGATTAATGCTTTTGTGGTGGCTGCTGCTCATTGCGTTCACCCTAATTGATGTTGGGGCATGCACATCTTCAGTCTTGCAGTGAGCATTATCTCAGCAGGACAGCTTGTGAGCTTTGTTGTGTGTGTCTGTGCTTACGTGAATGCCATGGGTTCTAAACAGAGAGCATTTAGTGATGGACAAAAGCCTAAAAGGGCCAAGAAAGTAATAACTTTGAACAAAATTGCAGATTCTAGATAAATGTTAAGAAGGACTTACATATGTGGCCATAGGCCACATGTTTAGCATTAACAAAAGTACCATATAAGGAAACAAGAAACTGAGATCAGAGAAGCAGTGCAAACTGGTGGAATTCCTACTACTAAACTTGTGGCTTATGTACATAGTAAAATATTTCAAATGGAGAATTTCAAATGGAGTGTTATTCACTCCATAATGTAAAGATTACAGCAAGTCAGTTTCAGCTGATTCAGGAGACTGCTAGGATCAGGAGACGCTACACAACTCAGGAAGCTCATCCAGAAGAGATATAAACCTGAACAGGTTCTCAGTGCTGATGAGACAGCATTATTTTGGAAGAAGGTGCCTCAGTGCGCCTGTATAGCCATCAAACAGAAGGAGGCCCAGGGATTCAAGGCAGGATGAGAAGCTTGGCCTAATTTTACATGTGCAGAACCCAAGAACTTTTAGAGGACATAACAGAATATGCTGCTGGTGTACTGGATGTGGAACAAAAGCCTGGGCAACAAAGAACCTCTTCCTGAACTGATTACATTGCTTCTTCCCCTGAGTCAAAGAATACCTGGAGACCCAGCTGTACACACTGCATTAGCTTTAGGAGTTATCCAGGTCTTGGCTCTCTATGGTTGCAGGAAGGGTTATATAGGATGTATCAGAATGGTATATACAATCCATCTTCCATTAAGTTCTTAGAGCAGAAAGATGCAGATGTTACATTATATCGTGCCCCCATATTCTGGATTTTGTATGATTTTCACATGGGGGCATAACATAGTGTAACGATTTCATCTGTAATATCTGTACTTGCTCACAGGTAATTAAAATACTTTTACATTGCTTTTTAAAGTGATTTTCAAGGCAACATTTTAAACCAAATTCAATGGCTTTGAAAACCAAAAATTACCCATCCCTGCTGAAGGCAAAACCTCTGGATGACTGTCCCCACTAATTTCATGTAGATCAGCCATGAGGAAATTCTGCCCTCCTGGCCAAATGCAGGTTGTTAGGCTGCCTTCTCAGTAGCCATGAGTCCTCAAAAGGAGACGACAATCTCCTCCCCATGATTTTTTTATATTCTAGGAGTGATGTATATACTTAGACATTTGTGTTATTCCAAAAAAATTCCAAAAAAGAAGAAACACATTTACTTCTTCCCATTTCCTTTTTGTACCATCTCAGCTGATTAAGAGTTTTGAGAATCGGAAAGCTTAGATTCTATTGTGAAATTTTAGTTGGACCCAATAAAGGAATTGTCCAACTAAAGATTTTCTACATAATCTTTTAAAAATAAATCACTTTACAGAAGTTTCCTTTTTATCCACAACCTTTGGGATGATTGAACTATCCATAGAAAATAATGGAATAATCCAGGTTTTTAGTACTGTGCAGGTTTCCCAGCAAAATTGCAGCAAAGGCAAAAATACAAATTCTTTTAAATTCACAGCTCTTCCATGGCTTTGTAAAGCATTTTTAAACACTGAACAATGGCTGTGCCCTTCTGTCTATAGGAATGAAGCCTCCTTTTAACTTAGGTCGTTTTATTTCCCTCTGGTTTGTTTTTCTGTCATCTCTACCCTTTTTTCCCCTTATTTTTATTGTCATGTTTTTCATGTTTTAAATCCTTTGTAAACCACTCAGAGTTGCTGGGAGTCAGGCAGCATATAAATTTAATACATAAGTAAATAATTAATATGGTAAACAGGCTCAGTGGATGAGGCTTGTTCATTTTTCCAGGACACTTCTGGAGCCCCCTACAAGATTCAAAAAGCCCACGGAAAAGAAATCTCTCTGCGCCTGTCTGGTGGCAGCTCTAATTTCCACTCAGAGAAAATGTTTAAAACAAACCAAGAAACTGGATGATTCATAGGAGAATCCTCAGCTAGCTGCCTCAAAAGGAGTTTAAGATCCATTGGACCCGCACCTTGCAACAAGAAGCCCAATTCTTACTGAATCTCTTTCAGAAAGCCACTAACCTACCGGCTACCTTTCAACCCCTAACGTCAAATGAACGACGTCCCCGGCGTTGCTGTAACCACTCCCCTGACGTTATCGGAAAGAGAAAGAGAGCACGTTCATAAAGTGAAAAAAAAAGCACAAAGCCAATCAGATATCGTCTTCAGAGAGACGTCACTGCTAGAGACGTGCGGTTGGGCCCCGCTCTTCCGAGGTAGATGGGTGGGCCTTGAGGTAATGTTTCAGTGCGCAGGGGCGGAATGCTCGTAGCGTTCCCTTCCCTTTCCTTCGGGCTTCTGTGGGTGACGCGTCACATTCCACCTCAGCGCGATCGGACACGAGCGAGACCAACGGACGGGGTTCTGGGTTGGACTGGGAGAAGCGGCCAGAGAGAGGGCGGTTGTGAACGGCCACTGACGCGCCTGCTACTAGCCCGTCCTGTGAGGGGACACTCCTCAGCTTGGCCCTGTCTCGTAACCAACAGCAACCGCCACCGAGAGGATGCGTCGCCACCCCCTGGCCCGAAGAAGTGGACGGGGGAGACGATGAAGGAGGTGCTGCCCCGTCGGCTTCTGATACTGGCCGCCTCCTTCCTCCTTGGCTGCTTGCTCGGGTGAGTGCTTTGACCGCCCGGGGATCTAGAGATGGTGGAAAAGGGAGAGAGGTAGATCTTGGGTCCCGGAACCTTCTTTCGCATCTGCGGCGCTTGCTTCCCTTACATATTGAACAGCGATTATTTTAAAACTTCTCCCTGTCCAGTTCTACAGCTTCTAGTTCCTGGAGCAGAATTTTAATTTCAGTAGGCTGTAGAGTCTATTTTCATGCAACATCCGGTATGTGCCCCAAAAGTGAAGAAAACGCCTACCAGCGTTTGGATTCTGCTTGTTGTCCAGGTATTATTGCTGAAACCAGACTTTTCCCTCCCAAATCTCTCCATGCTTGTCAGAGGCCAATCCATATGATTTAGAAACTGTGCCTGATTTATAAGAAATGGAATGCTGTGAAATAATTTCTCATTTGAAATACACTTTTTAAAGCAAATGAGTTGAGTTTAATATGTAACAAACTTTTTCAGTGAGGTGCAGTCTGTGCTGGCAAAAAATGATAGCAGTTGTAGATATCACACATCTGGAAGGTACTGAATTGGGCTTGTTGTATTTTGTTGTCTGTCTATTCTTGACTTTTAAGATCATACTCTAAATCCTAAGTTTAGCTTTTTAGAAGTTGTGGTGACTAATAGTATTCTTTATAGAAGGCATCTTATGAATAAAATTATTAAAATATTGTACATTTACTTATTTAAAGATTTATAAACTAGCTTTTCAAATAAAGCCTTCCAAAATGGTGTAAAACAAACAAAAATCCAAAGCCCAGATTATTAAAATAAAGCACAATTATTTTAAAAACCAATAGTAAAATTGGATTAATTATTAGAATATTGTGACAACTTATGCACAAGACACTCAACAAATATTAATTGGATTTTTAGCATGGTGGACACCAGTTGAACTGACTGTTACAGGTGGGAGAGTGGGAAGGGGGATATTAAAAACAATATCAGCACTTTAAATTGGACCTGGAAATAAAGTGGCAATCTATACAGTTGGTACAACGTAGGTGATAACATGAAGTGGCTATCTATAAAGTAGGTATGGCCATTTTCTTTATATGACCATTTTTATGTGAGCATATAGCAGTTTGAATTTCCAGACTGTTTTTAAAAGCAGTCCCATATAGAGGACATGACAGTAATTGTCATGAGACCATGGATAGTTGAAGCAAGGTCTGTCCATTCCAGATAGGGTCACAGTGGGGTACCAGTCTAAACTGGTAAAAGCTCTTTAGACCAATTCCATGATTAGCTTCCCCACTGCAGAATTCAGAAAAAACTCTTACATTATATTTGATTGTTCAGATAGAGTGCAATTCCCCTTTAACCTAGAAGGGGAATTGCACTCTATCTGAACAATCAAATATAAATAACGTTCAGAACAATCAGGTGCTACATCCACACTATCAACTTGTTTCCAGCCTCAGCAGTCTAGTTACTTCAGTGATTGAGGAAGAATACAAGTTGATAAAGAAATAAATTGAAAAAAGACCTTTCCTAGGCACCAATTCATCTGCCTTCCTGAGATGACTATGGGGAGGTAATGAAGGGAGATCACCATGTAAGCTGCCTTTAGCTGTTGAAGAAAAGGCAGGATAGAAACATGACAGATAAATCAACCAGGTTATTCAGATAATTAGGATAGTGTCCCCTCTGCATGAGATGGGAGTCACCATTCATTTCTAGAACAAAATATTAGATATTGCTAAAGGTCTAGGGAACATATGGTAGGCCTTATAGATATATTCAGGTGATATACTGAACTCAAACATAATAATTGAAACACTATTATTCTGTGATAGGAACATTAAACTGGAGTTTAGAAGAGAAAGCAGATCTTGCATTGATAAAAATGACTAAATAATTTGAAAACCGTATTATCATTAGCTAGTAAAGTGATTTCTTTACATGAGTACTCAAAGCAGAAAGTGTGTTTTGGTTCCACCTCCATTTGAAATGTTCTGTCAGAATGATCAAGCTCTTTGTATTCCATCAGAATAGCTATTTATTGAAGTATATGTGTTTTGTTTCAAGCCCAACAACCCTTTTAAAGGATTTCAGTATTGTTTTCCACGATGAAGAATGTCAGGATGGTGAAGTGCTGTTTTAAGATTAGAAATTATACATTTCATTCTGATCTTGAAACAACTGTAGAAACATAATGGGCTTTTTTAAAGTTTGAAATGCTCAAAATGGTAATTTCAAGCTTGAAATTCTTTAGAGTAAAAGATTATGTATCTCTTTAGGTTTTTTTTTTTTTTCTCATAAGGGAAAGAAGGGAGAGCAGAAAGGTTGAAAACATTCTCCAATATTCCAGTAGATGCAGATAGGTACATTAATAGTAGCATCATGCCACATATTTCATTAGCTGCAATATCTCTTCACATGATGCTTCATTTCTCTTTCCAGTATTAAAACCAAGCAGACTTCCAATATATTGATAAATACAGTCTAGTTTTCTCCTTTAGTGATGTGAAGCAGCACTTACTGTTTCAAAACCTTTTAAGTACAGCATATGCATGTTTGTCTCTAGAATAATGCATATATTTATATTTTAGGCAAGTTGCAAGTGATCTTGATCTTGATGAAATTTATGACAACATAAAATATTTATGAAAAATGTTTATATACTGCTACTCAGCCAATATTTTACAAAATGATTTGAGCTGATCTAGAGGTTGGGTGGATCTGTTCTACTTAGCACTGGGAGTAGGGTAGACATTGGCAGAAACATTCATTTCTTTATGTCTGCCTATTGCTTCAAATTTCTGGAAATTTATTTTTTGTAAAAACAGCAACAATAATTTTGGCATAATTTTCCACTAGTTTTTGATAGTAAAGTAATGAAAATACAGTGTAATAAGACTCAGATAGAATAATTCCACCCACGAAAGAACTAAAAGCTGGAAATTCTGATACCTTTTTACATAATTGTCCCATCTGCTGTATATTTGACTAATGAAAAAATGAGGTAAAAAGTGTCACCCTGTGGTGCAGAAATATTGTTCTCCCCTACTTTAAACCAACAAAAAAATATGTTTGTGTCAGAAATTATAATTAACCCTAAAGGCCTGCCAAAATGTTATTTGCCAGGGATTTATTATGTGACAACCAAAGAAAGACCATTTTGAGTATGAGTGCTATTCAGTTACAGTTGGTTGCAAACCTTTTCAACCTTGGGCGCCAGCTTAGGACATACCTATTCTCCCAGCTTTTTGTTATAGTGTGTCTTCTAGTTTACTTTTCTTGTCCCATATTATAATTTTAATCTTAATGAAAAAATAATAAATATAAACTGTGTTTTTAATGAACTGGAAATAAGTTTTCATGAATTATATCACTGCTTTGGATTAGCTTTTATTTATTTATTATTTATTTATTAAATCAATTTATATAGCCACCCATCTCACCACAGGCAACTCTGGGCGGCATACAACAAGCTTTTAACAATGAATCTGTGGGATAATTTTTTAAAAAGTTTTTTACTTGAAATAATGATTTTGGTGGATTTAGGGCTATAAATAAATGTAATGCTGGGTGTATATCATAACTGGGTATTACAACTGAATCCTAGCCCAAAGAAAACTTCTGACTGTCAGTTAGGAATACATATTTATTGGCAGGGAAGACAAAGATTAGCAGCCTACAGATGCTTTGTGCATTAGAAGTTGCTAAGAGTCATTTTGTTGTAAGAGCTAGAAAAACATCCTTAAAAAGTTAAGGGTACCTGTTCATACTCTTTTAAAATTATATATATTTTGAAATAAAATATATAGAATATTTTATTTATTTATTTGTATATCACATTTATATAGCTGCCCATCTCACACAAAGTGACTAAAATGTTACTTTGATTCTTTGTTCAAATTTTTTTTAAAAAAGTTCTATTTCTTCCTGATGTTCCACCAACTTATGGTATGTCATATATATACATAAAAAAGAAAAAGAAAAGAATTTCCAAAACAGGGAAAGGTTTGTTGGTGGCAGTAAAACCAACAGGTGCCTTAAAGATTTATGCTAGATTATTGTGATTATGTTTTAATTCTAACTGCCAAAAGAAAGGATACCCACAGCAGTTAGTCTGCACAACATATATTTTCAAAGAAATACAAACACCACTTTGAAGTTTTTATCAACCTGCATATCACTTTCTACATATTTTAATCCGATCCTCTGCTTCATAGAGAAGATTACAGGTAGTTGTTACTTATCAATTGCCTTGTTTAGCAACCATTCAGATTTACAATAGTTGAAAAAAAAACCAGCTTTGCAACCAATCCTCACATGGCCATTACAGCATCCCACAGTCACATGATTGTCATTTGCGAGCTTTACAATCAGCTTCCAACAAACAGAATTAATGGAGAACACAGAAGTGAAATTGCAAGTCGTGGTCATGTGGTGTTTCACTTAACAACTGATCTGTTTAATGACAGAAGTGGAAGTGACATAAGTCCAGCACAGTCACGTGATTTTTTGTTTAGTGAACATGGCACTTAGCAGTGGAGTTGCTGGTCCCAGTTGTGGTTGGTAAGCAGGGATTCTCTGTAGAGCTATACTGTCTCTAGCTCCTGCTTGAAGATTTCCAGCAAGAATATATCTCCAACTCCAGTAGTTGGTCCTTTTATTAAGTTGCTGCTCAATTTCTCCTAATCTTCAGCTGAAGTTAGAAGAATGACCTGTTAAGTATAATATGTAATAAATGCTATTATGTTCCCCTCAGTCTTCTTTTCACCAGTTAGACAATTAGTTTCTTTGGGATTTTGTCTTCTCAGCCTTTTGACTAAGATCACGTTTCATACCATTTTTACTATTCTTCAAAGAACGCTTAGAGTTTGTCAACATTATTTTTAAACTGCAGCATGCAGAATTGGACACATATTACAACTATTAATGTAGCCAAAAATCTCATTAGCTGCCTACTAGGGTTGTGCAAAGCATTTGAAGAGATCTGTTGCAAAACTTACTGGCAAGAATGAAGTGCATCTTCTCAAAGCATTGAGGTAGCCATGTTCTCCAGAAGGCTCAACACAATTGCTTTGAGTACTTCCCCATGTTCTCTTTATATATACGCAAAAGTGACACTTCTGTTGGGACTGTCAGCAAAGCAGCTATGCATGTACACACATGTGAAGATGACTTGGAAAATTGTTTGAAGCAACTGTGCTGAGTCTTCTGGGGAACATAGCAACTAAGGACTTTGCAGAGTGACATTTTGTTTGCACAAAATACATACATTGTTTTATGTAATCTTACAATTTGGTTGTATTAAATCAATTTCAAATCAGAATTCTTTTTCAGGGGTACTATTGGTAAGTGTGGTATTCTGTACCTGTATTTTTAATATATTTTATTTGTATTTAATATTTTGGTGAATATTTCCATTCTATTAAGATAATTCAACATTTGGTTCTGGCTTTTGAAATGCTATTAATCTCAAGTGTTATGTCATCTGCTACAGTATAAGGCTTCTTTCCATGCCTTCATGTAGTTCACTAATGAAAATAATGAATGAACTGAACCCAAGACAGGATCATATGACATTTGACATAAAACATTTCACAAGTTTGAAAAGGGATATTGATCTATGTTCTTCTGAGCATAGTTTCAAACCAGATGTGCAAAATCACACTCGGTTTGCTATCTAAAACATAATTAAGAATTTTACAGAAGTTTAGGTAGCTATAGTAAGATTTGTTTTTGACAAAACAATGCTATATTCTGTTGCTACTGCTTTGTACCAATATACGTTCATTCTTTCATAATCTGTTCATCTCCTTCTCTCCTTTTTAAAATTATTATAATTATTGGAAGATAGAGTAGCTTTTTGCTTATATGTTCACAAGAATTTTTCAAAGATGATAGATTTTGAGAGTATATCAGAGTACAGTGATACTTAAAAGTTTGTGAACCCTTTTGAATTTTCAATATTTCTGCATAAATATGAAATAAATATAAAACCATAATTCCATTCCCCACATGCCCTAACATTAGATAAAGAGAATCCAATTAAACAAATGAGTCAAAAGCATTATGTCTGATGTGGGTCTTCCGGGCTGTGTGGCCGTGTTCTGGAAGTTTTGGTTCCTAACGTTAGGAACCAAAACTTCCAGAACACGGCCACACAGCCCGGAAGACCCACATCAGCCATCGTATTCCGGCCATGAAAGCCGTCGACAATACAAAAGCATTATATTTGTTTATTTATTGAGGAAACTGATTTAAGTTCAGTATGAAACATACAACCAAACCTAATTTTTTCGTCTCTTTACTACCAAGGGAAAGTCTGAGCACCAAATGCATTGCCATGCTTTTGACTCATTTGTTAATGTTTTTCACACATTTGGTTAATTGGGCTCTCTTTATCTAGTTTTAGGACTTGCGTGAAAGAAACTTGTATGAGAGAGACGTTTAAGCATCATTATATATAAGCTTTACTATACCTTCAAAGATCAGATCAGATACCTACAAAGGTATCCAAAGATCAGAATCATGCAAGCCATGGTATTCCCTGTGACATTCTATGGAAACAGAAATTAGACATTAAAGAAGCAGGATAGGAAGAGCATTGACACCTTTGAACTTTGGTGTTGGAGAAGACTTCTGAGAATACTGTGGACAGCCAAGAAAACAAACCAATGGATCATCGAACAGATCAACCCAGAGTTCTCACTCGTCGTACAAATGACCAGGCTCAAATTATCCTACTTTGGACACATTATGTGAAGACCTAGCTGTCTGGAAAAGGCTCTAGTGCTGGGAAAGATGGAAGGAAAGAGAAGAGTACAACCGACTCAAGGTAGATGGACTCAATTACAGTGGCGATGAGTGCACTGTTGGGAGACATGAAAGAACAGGTTAGGGATAGATCGTCATGGAGAAAAATCTGTCTGTGTGGTCCGTAGGAGTCGAAAACAACTTGATGGCACATGATCAATATAAACTTTATAAAGTTGATTTGGTTCTAAAGATCTGATCTGATTTTGTTATTAATGTCAAACTGCAATTCTGACTCCTCAACAATTATATTATTAAATGAGGTTTGGTTTTTAAAAAGGCAAAAGAACTATATGATTTGAAGAGAAGAGAGAGCAAATTATTTAGCAGATGACTTGGCTGTTCTTGTTTCATCATAGCACCATCTTTATTGTGAATGCATCTCAGTCCATTTGTGTTTTAGGATTTTTTTTTTTTTAATTTAACAGATTTCCCAGCTGGCATGTCTTTTGTAAAGAGAGTCCTGTATCTTTATCTTTGCATTCGCCAAATGAGAACTCTCCCTTGCCAAATGTGGATGAGAACATCCAGGAAACGGTAAACATTTATAAGCCATATGGAATAATTTTAGTGCAATTATTAATGAATTAATAAGTAACCACTTTGCAGCAAACTATAAAAATGGATGCACATTTTGGTGGCATATCAGTGTTCTAATTAAGCAACAAAAATGCATTTTATTAATGGAATTTACAGATATATGCAGGAAAAGAAAAGTTAGCAAAAATGGTTTTATAAAGCCAAGTTAGAAGTTTGCAGTTCATTTGTCTATCTCCCTTACAGACATGCATTTTCAGCTGGATTATATAAAAAGTGAACTTCATATAGACCTTTGCTCTCTGTGTCCCTCCTCCAAGCTTCTCGTAGGTTGAGGAAATAGGAATCAGTAGGATTTCTATATTGTATATTTCATGGAGCATCCTTGAAATATTTTTTTGAGGAAGCAGAATCTCATGTGGCTACAGTAAGAGCAGCAAGACTAATATCCTGACACAAATGCTGCTTCTGATATAGCTCATTGTAATCTATGAAATAATTCTAAAAATCATTGCTTGATTTTAATCAGCTCATCATTTTAAAAGCAGTTAAATTCTTGCATTTTTCCAACACCATATAGAGAAATGTATAACTTCAGAAGTGCTAACAGTAAAACAAAGTGTGGGTTTATGTTGTCAGTTTTTTTCATCTTGTACTCATGAAGTCATTACAGTCGTACGTTCAGTTCTAAAGTGACCAATATGGAATTAAAATAGTTAACAAACTTTAAGAGTTTTGCTGTTAATGTTGCAACATCAAAGAGTTGGTTACTCAAGACGTATAGTTATAAATCTAGATCTGTAAAATCTTTTAGGATCAGAAAAAGGGTGTTGGCACTTGATGAAATGCAGTGCAGTTGATTAGGCATGTTCTGACCCTAGGGGTTTTAGCAAACTTTGTAGGCCACAAAGAACATTGTGCAATTTGGTACATTATAGATAAGCAATGAGAAAATAAGTTGGAGGGCATTTTGGCCATTTTAGCTGTTTATTTTTTATTTAATGTGCAGATTAGTGGGAGCAATCACATGGTATCACATGCTGTGGTGCCCACAGGCAGGTAAATTAGTAATAACAGTGAGGAGGAGCTAAGATACAACATGACATTAGCCTTGATAGTGACACGTTTGCCTTGAGAAAGTTTTAGGAAGAAAAATTGTATATCCAAGTCCAATTAAGTTGTAAATCCAAACTTACACAATGAAAAATAAAAAAAGGAAGCCTGGATAAGGTTAAAAGTATTCCATTTCAGAGATGGTGTTTTTATGTAAACGGCAGCTGCATTCACTTGAATATGTTTTTGTGTTCTGTAACTAGGAAGAGACTGATGGATCCCTCAGAACACTGTCTTTACAATATATTGATTCCACTACAAATATTTATTCTGAAGATGATTCAGTTGACTCTATAAAGCAAAAAGAGGTAGATCTTTTTAGCCAATATTTTTAGAATAACTTTTGCAAGCACTTGATGAGTTTTAATCATGCAGAATGGAATTTAATTAGTGTGATATTGCTTTAATTAGTTCTGGAGCAAATTTGGCGTTTATGAATTGAGTCCAAGCCAGCCTACAATTGGTTTGAAATTTATATGGCTGCCCATCTCACATAAAAGTGACTCTGGGCGGCGTACAACCATTAATTGCTAAGGTATACAACCTGAGTTATTGCAAAATGGTAACTGAACATGGGCAGTACCGTGCTTATTTATTTATGACCTGCCCTTTGTAAAAAGATTCCAATGTGCAGTATTAAATCCAGGGTTCAAATTGACGCAGATTGTCCAGCATTAGCTTATTATAGGTAGTCCTCATTTAAAAACCACTCATTCAGTGACCGTTTGAACTTGTGACAGCACTGAACAAGTGGTAGTTACAACTAGTCCTTGAAGTTTCGCCTGTCACAGGACCCCCGCAGTCATGTGATCACGATCTGGGTGCTTGGCAACTGGCCTGGATTTCTCACCGTCACAGCATCCCGCAATCGCATGATCGTGATTTGCGAGCTCCCCTGATGGCTTCCCACAAGCAAAGTCAGTGGGGAAGCTGGCTCACATGAGGCCCTTGCTTAATTACCCATGCGGTCCTCACATAATGATGGTAACCAGGGACTGCCGGGACTGCCGTCAGTAAGCAGCATGGTCATGTGATGTCACGCTTTACAACTGCCTTGCTTAGCAATGGAAATTCCAGTCCCAGTTACTGTTGTTAAGTGAGGACTACCTGTACTTTGCTTCTGGGCCATTTGGCACATTGAATTGCTTTGTGAATAAGCTTTTCCTTGGCAAAATACCATTTTCTCTTCTCAAGGCTATTGAGCAGGCTTTCTTCATTTTGCTGATAGAGATTCTCATTTGGTAAAGATTGCATCTGGTTGTTTACTATCCAAAGCATGTTAATTTAAAAGTAATTCCCAATTAAGTATGCATTGGATTACAGCCTTTGTTACTCAGCTGTGGAAGGAGAATAATACAGCTATTTGCTGTTTCAGCATACTGTGAGGCAAGAAACACTCGATGGAGAATAGATCAAAGATATCCATTCTACAGTATGATTTACAAGTTTCTCTTTAATGTTATTTATCTTATGGTCACTTAAAGTTATTTTAGACACAAATCTGGCCTTATTGAAAACAATATTAATGAAAGCTGGTTGCTTGATCCTTTGCTTTCTCAAAAGTTCAGCACTTGTGCTGAGCAGTAGTTAGAATCTGCTGTAGCTAGGTGTCAGATCCTCACATGGGATTGTACAAATAATTGTTACAAATAAAAACCAATTTTAACTCTTCATAAAGGCTGTATATGATAAGTGCTATTTCAGGATGCATTTGTATTTCATATTTTGTGGCCACTTAATCTAATGAATAGTCAATATTCTGCTTAAAGGAACTTTATATATATTTCTTGCATATAAAAATATGCATATTGGATTATATGGATAAAAAGACAAAATCTCGTACAATTTTATATCTCAGTCCTATGCATATCTACTATTAAAAAACCCTAACATGCATGTAGCCCTAATGTATATGCTAACTATATTTATTTCCAATTATAGCTCACCCTTCATAAAAATATTCCAAGACCAGTAACATCATACGCCAGCAAAAAACAATTGTAGAAAGAGCAGAAAAAGCAATATCAGAAAAAGAAAAGAAGGATTTAATGAGTGCTTGTAGTTTATAAAGCATAAATATTCCCATGACTTCATTCGAAAAAAACTGATTAGCTGTAATGTTATAGATGGAGGGTGTATTTAAATTTGCTAAGCTAATTACAGTCCTGTATGAAGTGATAAAACATCCTGAAGTAGCATCTAGGATATTTAGTTAGGTTAGTTTCCTCTGGTAGAAAGTTGGGATATAAATTGAATAAATAACTTTATTAACAGCTTTAAGGTCTCAGTATTAGCTTTTGCTGTTAACCTCTTCTTTGAAATGGTTTGTGTGGTTACTTTACTCTATATTACTAAAACGATTGGCTTATATTTTACATTTCTTTGCTTTGAGTAGTCAAGTGTAAGTTCTGAAGTTGCTAGAATTCATGTTAAAATCTGTTGTGCTTTTTTGAACAGAATATGGAAGAGGAATTAAAGAAATCTGAAGTTCAGGAACAGTCTTCAATTAATTCAAATGAAGCTTCTTTCATCATAGCTGGTATTCCTGAGAATACTTTCAGCATACCTACCTCTGAGATCTCACCAGTCTCTCAGCCCAAGTAAATATTTCTGTTTTCTCATGTTGGTGTTTAATATTTTAAAATTTGCTTTATATATTTTATCCACATGGATTAGTAGTATGAGTAGGCAGCTTGCTCTTGTATTTGTTATCCTGTTCTCTTTCTTATACTGAACTATTTTATTTCTTTATTTGTCTGGCTCACTCATTCATGGCAAGTCACTGATACCGTATTAAAGTTAACAACTGATATTTCTTTGAAGTCCTTTGAATAGTACTGTTTCATAAATAGAATCTCCTTTTTCAGTCCAGCTAAATAGTAATAGCATTTAGTTACTCTTAAGAAACAAGCAGATAAGATAGTCTCACCCAACTGTCTTTAGAAAAAATATAAATAGAGCAGAGTGATTAACAGGAGAGCAATCAGAAATGGATATTTTGTGAGGGAGCTACTGAGTCGCTACTTAGCTACTTCTAAGTTATTGATAGGGATATGAGCTGATTGTATGCGGTTGCATGGTGTTGTGGGTCTGATGTCCTTCTGGCTCAGCTTTATACTGAACAGGGAGTATTGGAATCACTTTGTATGACAGTGATGTCATCTAATATGTTGATTGATCAGTTTGATTTGGAAGCTACTTCAAGCAGCTTTATTGTAGGTTATCTGTGAAGGAGGAGGCACTGTTTACCCAGGTTTAAGAGCTGATTTCCCAACTTCTTAGAAAGCCATTTAGTATAAGAGCTATCTACTATCTATGGTCATCTGCAGGAGGAAGGCAAGGGGAAAATGTCAAAATGTGTATTGCAGCATTGCAATGCAAACTACATGACTTATGTACTTGCATATGTAAGTAGGAACAAAGTACAAAAGGCTGGGGTTTACATTGTGACATCATTATGGACATTTTGCTATTTTTGCATCATTGTAGTTTGTACTACACAACATAGTTTATGGTCGTAGGCTTTCTCATAGTTGCTCAGTAAAGTTCCAAATGAGAATTAGATTCTTTTTAGAGCTGAACTCTGAAAGGAATTTCAGCAGACAACTCGTAAAGTAGGTTTATCTTCCTCTTGTTTATGCTGCTTCTCTCCCACCATATCCAGTTCTTCAAATATCTGAATATGGAAAACATATAACTTTACATATATTTCTTGCTAACTTCATTTAGACATCGTTCAAATCTTGGATTTGAATTGAAATGTATATCTAGAAGCAAGACAGGTATTAAATTTTTTACAAAACAGTGAATTTGACATTTCTTTTCTAGAGTGTAATCTTGGTTTTTTATGTATGTCTGAATAGTATTCTAAATCTTTGGTTTGTTCCCCCCCCCCCCCCCCCC